AAAGTAGGTGAGATGAAGTCTGTCCATTCTTGCTTTCAAGGAGCATTCTGGCTAGATTTCTTCCAGGACTGAGTTCTTTGTTCTTCTGGCAGTCCATTTCATCTTCGGTATTCTTTGCCAACACCACAATTCAAAGGCATCTATCCTACTTCAGTCTTCCTTATTCACTGCTCAGCTTTCACATGCATATGACATGATTGAAAATACGATGACTTGAGTTAGGCAAACCTTAGTTTTCAAAGTGACATCTTTACTTCTTAAAATACTTCTTTAAGTATTAACAAGGTCTTTTGAGAAGTCTTTTGCAGCAGATCTGCCCAGTGCAATATGGCGCCTGATTTCTTGACTGCTGCTTCCATGGGGATAGATTGTGGATCCAAGTAAAATGAAATCCCTGACAACTTCAGTCTTTTTTCTTCATTTACAGTGATGTTACTATTGGTCCAGCTATGAGAATTTTTGTTTTCCTTATGTTGAGATGTAACCCATACTGAAAACTGTAGTCTTTGATCTTCACCAGTAAATGCTTGAAATCCTCTTTGCTTTCAGCCAAGATCCATCTGACATCAGCAATGATATCCTTGGTTCCACATCCTGTTCTGAATCCAGCTTGCATTTCTGGAAGTTCCCCATCAATGTACTGCTGCATCTGTTTTTGAATTATCTGCAGCAAAATTTTACATGTGTGTAATATTATTGATATTGATTGATAATTTCCACTCCTCGGAAGGAAGATTGGACAGTCTACTTCCATAGTGATTCCTCCTTGGAAACCCAAGGAGAGGTCACTATCAGTCTGTTTTCTTTGTCCTCTCGTCTTTTCTTTTTCTTGCTATTCAGGTTTGTTTAGAATATTTTTTGGTAGAGTTTTATTAACTTTCACTACTGGGTTCAAGATTTAGAAGGATGTTTTGATGAAGTTATATAGGGGCCCACATTTTTCCTTTTGGTCCATTTTGCCTTGGTCGCTAGTATGGTTCATGGGCTCATGGCAATCATATTGCCTGAGTACATACATGTTCACATTTGTCTGTGACCTTTGTGCTTGAAGGTCAGTCCTGCTGACTACAATATCCTCAGCTTACATTCTTTCCATGGGTATTTTAATTATATTACTTAATTTTCTTCTAGCAGAAAGTAGTATTGTAAAAAATCTGATGCTGATTTAATAGTCTTTCTCCTGTAAGTGATTTGGTATTTTTGCATGGATTGTCCAAATTATACATATTCCAATAATTCTAGTAGAGTGCAGCTCAGAAATGACAGCTCTTGATCAATGTTCCCAGATATACAGAGTGTGCCTTTTTCATAGATAGCATCATATTTTTTTTTCTTTTGGAAGTTTTTTCTTAAATTACAGTTTATTATTTATTTCATTGCATTGCTTTGGATATCTTGTACAAATAATCATCTATATTGATCACTTCTAATTGTTTCAGTTCTGTTTTGTTGTTGTTTTTGTTTTTTCTTAATTTCGCCTTCCACTTCTCTTATTATAATTTCTATTCTTGTGTTTCTTCTAGTTTAGTCTTCAATTCTGGATTTTGTTTCTTTATTCCTAAATATTTTCTAACTCCTACAAGCTCTTTTTGCATAAACTCCCCTTGCCTAACTACACTATTTCATAACATTTCTACTTCTGATTTATGTTATTCTTTCATAGCTTCTATTTTCTTTTTTTAGTTTCTTATCACTTATTTGAAGCAGTTTTCATTGCTTTGTGGTTATATATTTGTCCCATTGTTCAGATCATTCCTTTCTTTTTTTCTCTCAAAATTTCTTATGGAGTTGGACCAAATATTTTTGGCTTATATTTAAATGGAACAGGCCTTCCTGTATGTTTAGATTTCCATAGGGAGCAAGAATGGGTCATAATGACATTCCTACTTTCAAAGTTCATGGGCTCCCTGTTTTTAACCAAAAGTATTTTAAAATGGCTCCTTCTAGCAGTTTCCATCCAGTCCAGGACTCTGTCCTTATGGAAGGGAGTTTTCATTAGGTTTTTCTGTACTTACACTGCACCACTGATCTTTCCCCAATTACTTTTAACCCTTGAAGTAAAGCCTGTGATCCCTTTTCCTAGCTTTTATGGTTGTTAGCAAATCTTATTGAATTTTCCCTTTAAGTGAAGGTCCCTGAGGGGTGAGTGTGTACTTATTGGTCATTTCTCTGTTTCATGTTCTCAGAACCAAAAAATGTCCCATTTTCATTCCCAATGCTTTTCCTTCACAACTGTTTACCTTGCATGGATCTTGCTACTGTAGGCAGTTAGGCTTGACCTACATGTATTTTGAAGTCTGTTACAGGAATACCTTGAATTTTGAGTTAAGGTTTCAAGGTCCCCCCTGCACACACACACACACACACACACAGGTTGCCCTGTTTATTGGTGTGAAGCAATTTAGAGAGGTTCAAAAACTATTCTAGCACTGCATTTTGCCCCTACTTTTAATTAAATCAATTTAACTGCACACTTTTCAGGGTTTTCTACATAGAAAAAAAATATTAATTCTTAAAAATAGCTATCAAGTATATCAAGTAATTCCTTTTCTTCCTTTTGCTTTCCCCCTCTGTTTCACTGCAATGTGTCTAGATGTGAATTTCCTTTTATATGTGCTGACTGGGCCCACTAGAGTTGAGGATTTGTGCTTTCCAAAAATTCTGAAAATTCTCAGCTGTTTTCAGATAAAGACTCATTCTTTCATTTCCTGCAAATCACTCTTAACCTCTATGTCTCCAAGCATGTCTTTCCTATTTTGCGTTTTTTGTCATCTTGGATTGAATTCTAAAAAAATTTCTTTAGTTGTCTATTCAAGCTTATTGACTCTTCAAAATAATTTAATTTGGTGTTATTTTTGTAGGGAGCTCTGGTGATGTCATTGTTAAAGCATTTGGCTGTTAACCAACAGGTGGGCAGTTTGAACCCACCAGCTAGCTGCTCCATGGGAAAAAGATGAGACAGTCTGCTTCCATAAAGATTTATAGCCTTGGAAACCCTATGGGCCAGTTTTACTCTTCCTTACAGGGTTGCTATAAGTCAGAATTGACTCAATAACAGTGGGTTATTTTTGTACATTGAGTAGCTAATGTCAATTATTATATATACATATATTTTTTAAAAAGTCACTGCCATTGAGTTGATTCAACTCATGGCGACCCCTCCTTGGGTTTCCGAGGAGGTATCGCTATGGAAGCAGATTACCCAATCTTCCAAGGAGTGGCTGATGGGTTTGAACTGCCAGCCTTCTGGTTAGCAGTTAGGTGCCACCAGAGCTCTAATATATACATATAAATTCATTTTTAGAAGTTATTGCTGAGTTTTAATTTTCCAGTGTTGGAATTCTTTTTCTGATTTGCTATTGATTTAGGATTTATTTCAATATATTTTTAGTATTTATTGAGGGCTTTTGTGGCCTAATATATTCAGGTTTTGAGATTATTTCATGTGTACTTAAAAAGGGATATATTTACAGGATATATACATCTATATCTGTATATTTATGCCTATGTCTATATTAGATTTACTTTGTTATATAGGTTATCGATGTCATACCTTTGGACAATTGATCTAAGCAAACTGATCTAAAGCCTCTGACTTCTAACATGTTTTTATTTTAACTTATTATCACTTAAGGTTGGTTATTACTTTGTGTTGATGCTATTATTTGGGAGTGAATATTCATACTTTTCTATACTTATTATATACTTTAGCATTATATACTTATTATATACTTTAGCATTATAAAGATCATTTTTTTCTGTTTTGTTTAGTAAGTTATGGCCTGAATTTCAGACAAATTACTCATCTTGATAACAACATTAGAGCCTCTGCTTTGTTTTCATTTTTGCTAGTATATTTTTAAGAAGACCTGTTGGTACAGTGGTTAAGCACTTGGTTGCTAACTGAAAGGTCAGTGGCTCTAACCCACCAGCAGTTCCAAGGGAGAGAAGCAGGTGATCTGGTTTCATAAAGTTGTTGTATGCTGTCAAGTTGATTCTGACTCACAGTGACCTTGTAGGACAGAGTAAAATTGCCTCACTGGTTTTCTAAGCTATAATCCTTATGGTAGCAGATTGCCAGGCCTTTTCTCCTGCTGGGTTGGTTTGAACTACAGTCCTTTTGGTTAGTAGCTGAATGCTTAACTATTGCACCTACTGGGCTCCTTTACACAAAGATTACAGCCTAGTAAACCCCATGAGGCAGTTCTATTCTGTCATACAGGGTCAATATGAGTTGGAATTTATTCAACGGCACACAACAATAGAATACATTATTTATACTTTTATTTCAATCTGAATCACTTTGTTTTATGTGTGTGCCTCATATACAAAGTAAATTTTTCTTTTTCATTATGGTACAATTTTAAAATCTTTCAATATTTTCCTTTTCATATACTGATATAACCAATATGTTTTATGTGCTGGCAAATTAAACAATTAGCTTGACCTTATGGTTATTTATTTACTTGATCCAAAATTGAAGAAATAAAGAAAATCAGATTCCTCTAGTATTAAGTTATATTTTTGTACCATTCCAGAAACTTTTTAATACTCTCAAGAAACAAAATTTCCACAATTTTTGCAAGTATATTAAATGTTACCTCTGAGTCCTTAATGGTTATCTAAAGATTTCAAAAAACTTATGTTTGTGTGTGTGTGTATGTGTGTGTATGTGTGAGAGTCATAAGCACAGAACTTCCACACTCAGACATTTTGGCTTATCAAGCATTTAGTCTAAAATACAAGCTTAGTTAAAAAACTCAATTATTCAAAAGCCTTTTACAGAGCACAGGATTATGAAAGTGATCAAGAAAAAGCAGAAACAAGTTGATTTATTCAACGTGTGTTGAGCTTGAATTTTGTGTCAGTGAATAGGTGCTAGAAATATAATATATATGATTGTACTTGCCTTCAAGGAATTATATCCTCTAGCCTTAGAGATAAATTTTAATATTTTTGTCATAGCACATAAATTCTAAGCAGCTTCTTAGGAAACTTACCTTTATCCCTTCTGAAACAGCCCTTTTCATTGCTCCTACATATAGCCCATCCATTTGTGCCATAACATAGCCAGTATGTCTCCAAAATGGGTCAGCCTTAAAATTTTTGATATTTTCCCGAGTCCACTGATCTTGCTTCCTGAGAAAGAAATTAGATTTGCATTAGAGGTCTCCCCAGTTGCCCATTCAAAGCTAGAATTTAGAGATTTTCTACCCAGACACTTATGCTAGCATAAATTAAATTCCAGATTTTATAATATTCAGTCATTTGAAAGGATTTCAAGCCACATCCTAAGTCATTTTTAATTTCTTCTAGCATGATGACTCTTCTTGTATAGCTTCCTCCTTGCTCTATCTAGCTGGAAGCAAAACACAAGTGTGATATTTCTTACCTGTGATACTGAGACCTAAGAAAGTCAAGGATAAACCATCCATATACATTTCATATAAAATTACAATACCTCATTAAGCCAATAAAGATAAATTGATTAACTTTACTTTTGTATGTATACATTGTAAAAGTAAAGAAGAGCAAAAAATTAAAAATAAAAATTCCTAAGGATGGGGGTTTGTATGTTTGTATTTTTCTTACAAGTGATTTTCAAAGTTATTGTTCAACCCATTCCAGTTGTTATTAATAACTATCTCAATGAATCTGTCCTAGCATAGTTAGCAATTTTTGTTTTCTAACAGTTTTTCATTCTGTCTCTCCTCTTTTAGTCCCTTTAATTCTTTGTACTTTATAGAGGATGAATTAATACAACTTTGTATACTGAAAGCAAATTCTGATTTGCCCAGACTATCTCTAGATTAATCTTAGAAAAACACAGTATCATTGTTTCATGGGATTTAGCTCAATAGTTTTGGATGTATGTTCAGTAGGACCTTAGCATTCCATGAAGACGTTGCTCAGGGTGTGATTTTGATGGCCAAACCAAGAGCCCTCCAAATTAATCTCATAGGTTGTCATTCCACCACCACCAGCACCCACTGCCATCAAGTCTATTTTGACTCATAATGACCCTTTAGGGCAGAGCAGAACTGTCCTATGGGGTTTCCAAGGCTGTAATCTTTACAGAAGCAGATTATGTCATTTTTCTCCCACAGAGCAGCTGGTGGGTTCGAACCACCAACCTTTTGGTTAGCAGCTGAATGTTTTAGCCACTACACCAACAGAGCTCTTTTCTCATTCCACAAATATAAAATATTTTTTTCTGCATATTGAAGGATTGTTAGTCTTCAGAAATACTTTATTTAAATAGAAATATTCTCAGAGAATGTTAAGAATTATGACTAGATATTAGCTAACGCCTCAGCTGGGATTAATCACCAAGCGCACGACAAAGAAACACCTTAATGGAGTAAAGAAGATCTCAGTAAAATGGAGAGGAGCCCCCATGGGGATCCACGGGCTTAACTTTTGCTTGCTTTACAATGATGGTGTCTTCCTCCAGCTGTGTTAACAATTAATAATGTGATATTTAACCTGACCTTTGAAAAACCCAAAATTAAAGGGCATGTGGTCTGTACTCAGTTTTTACACCATTACCAAAAATGTTGTACCATGCTACTAAGAGAGTCCTGCTAAAGAGGATAGCTAGCATCTGTTTAAGCAAGAGGAAAGCATGCTGTTTGAAATCACAGATATCAATGTATTTATTAAGCTTTAATAACAATGAGAAGAGAAAAACTATTATACATACTCTAGAAAATTCCGTACTTTATCTATCATGGAAGGCTTCTTAATCAGTTGTGGGTAGAAGTTTGTGAAGTGGTCATACATGTGTCTGAAATGATAGATAAAAATTGTTACATTTCTATTTTTCTTCTTGGATTTCTCCATCAAAGTAAATTACCTAGTCTGTTGGCTAACTGAAATATTAACTCTTGCAAATCTTCTCTACTTTTTTTTTTCTTCCTCCCAAACATACAATGTAAAATTGGGAAGTATTCCCAACATATAGAAAACACAGAATGTAATGAACACCCAAGTGTCCACCACCTATCTTTAATAAATTACTATATTTTGGGATATTTGCTGCATATATTTTGAAAAGAAATAAAACATAGTTGAAGGCCCATGCACTCCCCTCAAATCTTAAATTCCCCTCCTGCTCTTCCCAGAGGTAACTACAATCTTGAATCAGTAATTTATCACTCCCATGCATGTTTTTTATAGATGTTTAACTATAAATAAAGAAATAAAGTATTATTTCTCATGTTTAAGAACAAAATATAAATAAAGTGTTACTTATCTAATATCCCTTAACTTGTTTATTTCTCTTAACATGCTGTTTCTGAGAAATATTTATTTTAATATCTTCAACTTAGATTGATTCTTTTCAACTGTTGCACAGCATTTCTTGGGATGACTATATAACAATTTCTGTATGCATTCCCCTCCATGATGAGCATTTAATTGTTTTGTAACTTTTCACTCTCATAAGGCAACTTCACCAACACTAGTAGCAAAGTTCAACAAGACAGAAAATAACAAATGCTGGTGAGGTTGTAGAGAGATTGGGACTCTCATACACTGCTGGTGGGGCTGTAAAATTGTACAACCATTGTGGAAAGCAGTATGGAGATTTCTTCAAATGTTGGAAATAGAAATACCATTTGACTCAGCCATTCCATTACTTGGTATATACCCTAAAGAAGTGAGAGCCATGCCAAGAACAGATATATCCACACCCATGTTCATCGCAGCACTATTTACAATAGCCAAAAGATGGAAATAACCTAGGTGTCCATCAGCTGAGGAATGGATAACCAAACTATGGTACATACACA